GCTGTCCTTTGAAAAACCTCGCAAATGATCATGTTTAGTCAGAGCCAGGCTAGGGAGGAGAAAGCATCTTTATGCCTGGTTTGCACAGATGCAGATGTTCTGCTGCCAATTTTCACGTCCTAAGAAGAAAATTATGGGGTGACTGACTGACTGTTGCCCAGGAAACTCTGTGACAGAGGCTCAATGCACTAATTGATTTTATTAATTTAATTTAATTCTGCATAAATTCTGTCCTTCCTCCTACCACTGATTTAACCACAAACTGTCCCGGTTTTTTTCTCCAGATAACCGACCTTTAATCCTGAATTTTGGAAGTTGCACCTGACCTTCATTTATGTTAAAATTTGGTGAGTTCAACAAGCTCATCAAAGATTTCAGCTCAATAGCGGATTTCCTTATCATCTACATTGAAGAAGCTCACGCAGTAGGTATGGTACAATTCCCTTCAGGACGAAAAGTATGTTAGTAAAGGTGGGAACTGCAAATGGGAAGGAAATCTTCCTCAGATCAAAAGTGGCAACACCAAATCTAGGTACCAGTTTGTGTCCCTAATTCTCAGAGATTTTACTCACAAATGTGACTTTACACCGAGGTGGTACTGCTGAAGATACTCATCTCTGTGAAGCAAAGCACATAGTTACATCTTTACAAAACTTCCTCTGGGTGTTAGTACAGCTCCTTTGGGGGGGGTGGGGAAGGTATTTCATAGAACAAAGGTTAAGTGTGTGCAATACCAGCATGTTATGTGGTTTTTTTAAAAAATAATTCATTTTTAATATGTCTGAAGACCAGGATGCAGACTCTAACTTGGAAAATGTAGCAAACAAACTAAACACACTCTTTTATCTACACTGGACTCTAAGTAACACATTGGCACTGATTTTACCCCAGGGTTAAGGGGTGTGTGTGTGCTCTAAAATGTAACATTTAAAAGTTTTTTAACAACACATCACTTTCAATAGTTGAGAAACGGTAACAACTTCAGTCAGTTATCAAAACCTTTTACTGGTTTCTACTTTACTGGGAAGAGTTGGGTGCAAATGTGTGTTTGCATATTTCTGAAAAAGGAAGGTGAGCCCTGGCTCAAATGTTTCACTTCTCACAGATCTGAAAGCTTGTTTTATAGGCTTAATGAGTAGCATCAAGCAGAATGAACAGTACTATTGTTGCGACCGTGCTAAATGAATGGGCATCAGCTGATAGCACTGCTTACCTTTTTAAAATCCCCTCTCTACCAACAATTTTGACAAACCTTACTCAAATTGCCACCCCCCACCTGATATCTTTCTAGGGTTGATTTATGTGGGAAAATTACAGCTAAAATACATCAAATATTTCTGAATCCTGGGCAAGGAGAAAATCATTTGGTGTTAGGAGTAAACTGCAGTATTCTTGTAACAGAGTTTTGGGATATGATGCACAGTACATCTCCACCCTTACACCCATTCAAAACGTTCCTTGCTAAATCCCTTTCTCATTTGTTTTAGATGGATGGGCTTTTAAAAACAATATTGTTATTAAAAATCACCGAAGCCTTGAAGATCGAAAAATTGCAGCACAGTTTCTTCAGAAAAATAATCCTTTATGTCCAGTGGTTTTAGACACAATGGAAAACCTGAGCAGTTCAAAATACGCTGCATTGCCAGAACGACTGTATCTACTTCAAGGAGGGAAGGTCATGTACAAGGTAAAAAATATCAACAATAATAATGAGCACAATACATTGAGATTTTTAAATTTCAAACTAATTTGAGAATGCTTTACATTTAACAGTATTTCATTCTGGCTGAGCGCTAAGAATTTCACAATTCACTGTAACTGTGGAGAGAAGATGACTTGTAGCAAAACCAGTCTGGGCCTTTATAATGTACATATTTGATGTACAGCTCAGTCTTGCTCAAATATTTATCTTTTGGCTCATTAGGAAACCTACGTACATTTAAGCTGTGAGGTCCAGGAACACTTGCCAGCTCCGGGATCCAGACATTGGCCCTGTCCCAGTTACACAGCAGGGTGTAACCTGTGCATACACCATCTCCCACGTGATGTGGCTGCCATGCAAAGGAAACCCAAGCACACCTGCCCAGTTCTGGTGCAACTGCTGTGTTCTAAAGGACTTCTGCTTTGTCTGCTTGAGTATCACTGTGTAGTTTTATTGCCTTTGCAGGGAGGAGTGGGGCCTTGGAATTACCATCCCCAGGAAATACGTGCCATCCTGGAAAAACTGAAATAGAAAAAGAGAAGAGGACTTCAGAGTAAAGACTACCTGGATAAAAAAGCTCAAGGAATGAAGTTTTCATAGACATAACTGTAAGAAGGAAAAAAAAAAAAAAAAGAATTAATGTACGTGCATCTAAAGAGCATCTGTAATGTGGTTCATTATGTTTGTCCACAGGTTTTCAAGTCTGATCACTACAACACCTACTACTGCATTGTAGTATCTTACTACGCTTATACCACATGCGGTAATGAATAGTAGTTGGGTCCATTGAGCTGTCAGGACTGGATACCAACTTTTCCAATTTTAAGGGATATCATACAGGATAAACTTCAGGGGTGGTGACACCTGCAAAAGTCAACTGGCATGAAAAACACCTGATTTCACATTATTAAGATTCTCTTTCTCTTGTATGCATAAAATTTCCCTAAATGTTCACTTTCGCTGAATTCAGAAGGCTTCTGAATAAGACAATCTCTATCAACATTTGTTTCTATTGATATTTGTTTTGACAGTCATAGCATAAAGCACAGACTGCTGTGACCTGATTGTAGAAAATATTTATAGAAACAAGAGATTGATTATTATTATTAAAAATCTACCACAGCACTTCATATGACTTCAGATTATTTCCCTCCCCACCCTGCTCCTCTCCCCTCCAGGTTATTTTTAAGCATTAGTAGACTTTTCTATTCATCCTATTAATCTTGCACAGTTTGAATTGATGAGAATGTTACCAGTTTAAGATCTTTTGAAGGACTCGTTTGACAGTAGGAAGTAATACCTCTCATTTAAGTATTTCACACTTTTCTATTTAACTCAGACTGCAAGAGAAACATTTTACAGGAAATCGAGTTTTAATTCATATATTAAGAAAGCCCGATAAAACATACTAGTTTAAATGGACTCAGTTATGTTCAAGTGTTCTAGGGTAACAGTCTAGGTTACAAAACTAGAAAGCTGTTACTACAATTAACAGGAGTACTACATTACATACATTAAACCGGTGGGGAATACATACTACATCCATACCTTCAAAAAACACTTCAATACAAGATTTTAATAATAAATATTCTCTGTGCTACAGATATCAAAATATAACTTCTTAAAAAAAAAAAAAGAGGTACAAATTTAAGGTGGACTTAAGCGTTCTCTGCTGTGCCCTCTGCCATCACCCGGTGCACTGATACAAAATGATCAAAGGCAGATTTGATGATAAAACGCAAATAAGTGGCTTGGAAATCAGGAAGCTGTAGAAGGAAAAAAAAATGTTATTGTATTCTCTATAGTAACATAACTATCAGACTTTTGCAGATGTTTGTTAGCCAGAAGGATCTAGATATTTCTGTGTCTGTTTTGAATTACACATAAATCAAGCTCTTTGAGTACATTTAGCCAGCTTCAGAGCATCTTTAGAGGACAGCAATTCAAAAAAGTCTCATCCCTCCTGAATACTGCTGCCTTAAAGGCAACAACTGAGGGAGGAAAGATTGCCACACTTCTGGAAAGAGCTCTTTCACATAGTTAGGAGCAGTTAGGACATGCAATTTCATACCATGATCTACAAATTCCTATATCTAACATCAATTTAACAGTAATTGTAAATAAAGACATAGTTTGGTTTTTCACAGTTTCTCCCTGGTTAGTCTAGACATCTCATGTCGTGAACCACGACTGATGTACACTGTAAATACTCACTGGAAATTCTTCCATTTGAAGTTGTCCTTCTGTGTGTTGCAAATCTAGAAAATACATTTTAAGACAAATAATGAATAATGAAGTTTTCACTGGACTTCAGAATGCAAGAGAATTTAAGGACCATGAACTTACGCTGCATATAGAAATTGTTGGGGTTTTTTTAACAAGGTGATTTAAGAGAACAAATACTTCTTGCAATATCCCAGTGTATATATATCCCACTGATTACACTGTTTTATAAAATGTCGCCCCAGAGGAATTAAAAAAAAAAAACAACAAACCAACCAAACAATGAAGGAAATGGCACTCTATTATACTATGTAAGTCTGCTTTTAATTTTGGGAACATAAAAGTAGTGCTTTTAGCCCTTATACAACATTTTACATCTCCAAACTGCTACACAGTCCATCAGTGTTCATAAACTTAATTTAAATGTGTCTATTACATTAACATCTAATAAAATAATCATCAAGTCACACTCGACTACTCAGCAAATAGACATGAGGTTAAAGTGACTCACTGAAAAAAATATAGTGTATCAATAATGATAAAAAGGATGGTTTTATCTGTATGGCTAAGCACAACCCAACTAAAATGTAAACTCAATTTTATAATCATAATTTTACAGACTATATACACTTAGTCAAAGGCATAAAATTAAGATTTAACTTTAGAATAAAGAGTATTGCTTCCCAGTGTATGTTTATCATTATCCATCTAAAAATGCATTTTTCAAGTTGGGAAATTGGTGCTATATGGCACTCAGCTACATGACCAGAAACCTGGCTATTTTTTAAAAACGTCCATGTTTTCATTCAATGTTCAAAGAAACCAATGGGGAACCCAAAGAATTTCATATTAGGTACGCAAAAAGTAACAGTTCCCTCCAGAAGAGCATCACTAAAATTATTCAGGCAGCAGGATACATGTTAGTGTTCTCTGTTGTTTTGCTAGAAAAAAAAAAAAAACAGCATTTTCAAGCTTCATTGGCAAGTTTATTTTTGATGACTTATCTCAGTAGTAACAATAAAAGTCAATCGGAATCCTTCCTAGTTTGCCTAACACAAGCTTTGTTATTCTAAAACCTAGAAATAGTAAGTGAATCAGTAAACCCAAAGATCAACATGACTCCCACAAAATCCCCACTGCTTCAGATTCAGAATCTTACCTTTTTCAATGCACTGTTCAAAATCTACTGGGTCTTTAGATATGCTTCTTTCAATCCTTAGGGTCCGCACTAAAATATATATACAGTTAAAATATCAGTACAAATTCTGATTCTTTATTGACAGTGGTATTTATTGCATCACTTTTAATCTACAAAGCACTTTAAAATTATTAACTAATCCATTCTTCCTCTAATTTATGGGGTAGGACTATAATACAACCACCATCTTCATGTTCCAGGTTGGACAAACAATGACAAGTTTTTGTGTCTTTTGTGCAGCCTCTGCTAATGGCCAACCTCCTTTCTCCATGCTCTGACCTTGTAACAGCCCTTTCTGGTTTAGAACTCACATTTTCCTTCACATTATTTTAAAAAGTAAGACTATGAGAGTTCTGCCCAATTAAATTATAAAAATACTCTTTTAATGATTTATTTTGAATAAGTATTGTAGTCCTGTCCATTAAATTAGATCAGCCACCACTGTGTGACAGAACAGTTAATTACAAGCTCAATACAAGGTATTATAAGAATAAAGTGCAGGTGGGGTAGATTTTCCATCTTTTTCTGATTTATTTATGAAAAACTTTCGACATGGAGGACAACTGCTTTGTTAAGTTAAATTAGGCTTTATGAATTAAATTAAGCTTTAGGAATCTGTTAGAAGTAACTACTTCTAGAATGTGACACTATTGTAAGAATTTACATACAGGCACACACACGTATTTTAACATAGTATGTGTAACATACTGTAATACATGAAGCCTTACCCAAGTAGCACTGGATTGTGACTTTGCTGATTTTTACACATTTAGGAAAACCAATAATGAATTCCTGTGGGAACATGCCCGTCGTTGTCCAAAACGTTTCAGAACTTCTGTGGAGAAAAAAGGACAAGACCCCCCACCTGTGCCTTTCCATCTGTAACCCTCTTGAAATAAGTTTAACACCAAAAAAAACCCCAAACCAAACCCACCACCAAAAAACCAGCACCCAACCAAAAAAAAAAAAAAAAAAAAAGAGAAAAAGCTGCAAAGCCACTTTTATTTGGGGCAATTTAAGCAAGCCCCTCCTGTACGACAACGGGGAAGCTCTGTGGAAGTATTAATACTTTAACGTTCAGGCTCTGTAGCCGAGCAGCACCACAGGTCTTGCAAATGGTGGGGGTCCCAGAACAAAAGGTTAAATTATGTGGCAAGATGAGCGGGAAGGCAAAGGACAGAGCCTGGCGGAGAGGGGCTGCGATAACGGGAGTGATCTCTTGAGGGGA